CACTCCGGCTCAAACAGCAGGAGATTAATTGGCATCACATTCTGTATGGAAAAAACAGTTTCAAGTGTTTACTGATTCATGATGCTCATAAAAGATAAATGTAACTTGGCTTCATAAAGAGGTAAGACTCCAGAGAATCTGCTGGAAACAAAGAGAGATTTCTTCTGGCAGTCTTAACTTCCAGCCTGCACCTCTTATAACAGCCCAGTTTATTCTGCTAAAACCACGTTTTACACTTCTGGTATTAACACTGTCCCCAACTCACCCTCCAAAGCCATCAGGAATTTCCTCCTAGGGAACTGTAACTGCTTATTCTAAAAATAATTTTTTTTTCAAAAAAAAGCCTCTCAGGTGAAGGAGCAGAGAATGGACTGTACCTCCTAACGCCGAGAGCTCGTGGCCGCCGCTGGCATTTCCACCCAGAGCCCCGGGCATCGGTGGGTTGTTGAGATACTCGTTCACCTTACGGCAGTGTTCTTCGTCCTTGTCTGTCTTCGGCTCCTGCAAGAAAGTTGCTCTTGGTACGAGGCAAACTGGGAGGATTTTGTTCCAAGACCTTTATTACCGGCTTCCCACAAACCTGCATCCAGAAGAAGAGTCGTTTTGATCCTGCCTTGAACTTCAATACATACACACGGCCGGTGGTGCACTGAGGTACCCTCTTGAATTCACAGTCATCAGGAAAAATAATCAAATCCTGCAAAACGTGGTGGTAGAAACAAATGTTTGAGGAAATACATGATCACTCCTTTCAGCCTCCCAAAGACCTCTGCCCTCCTCCCCAGACCTTTTTCCCCTTGCTCTTCAGAACAGAGAGGATTTGGAAGTCAGGCCACGGTGGCATTCTTGTCCTAATTTGTCTTGGAGAAGCTCTTTCAGCAGAGCCAGCAGGAGAAGAACAAGACAAACCCCAACTTAACACCTCAGCACTGAGACCCAAAACCATACTCACATCCTCAACGTTGCCCGAAGTCCTGTCCTTCCAGCAGAAGTGAATGAGGGAGTCATCAGTTTGCTGGATGTACACGAGGCCTTTTCTCTTGTCGGGGGTCACGGTGCTGCCTTTCAGCGACATCTTCCCTGCCCGAAATTCCACCAGGTATTTGCTCGAAGAGCCCCGGGAGCCTGGCACCAGGCTTGGAAATAACGCGCCCGAAGACATCCTGGGAAGAGAGAAAGAGCAGATGTGAGGAGAAACCCTCCGGCATTCTCTCCTCTCAATACCAAATTTCAGTCTTTATCACACGAGCTCCACAGAAGCCATCTGTGCCCCTGCCTGCGGGATCCCAGGGTGATGCAGAAGAGCTAAAGCAGAACCCGGGATGAAGGCCAGGGATCGGTGCCGGTACCGAGGAGCCCACCTGCCGCGGCACCTGAAAACGACCCCCCGACCTCCCTCCTTCCGTTCCTATCTCGGTCGCAGGGGCAGGGACCTTTACATCCCGAGAAGCGCTATAATTGCTTATAGCATTTCCCGGCTCCCGCTCCAGCCCCCCCGCAGGGATCCCGGCCCCCCGCCCCCCTGCGGCCCCGTCCCTCCCGTCGCGGGCCCCGTGGGGCGGCGGAGGCCGGTGCCCGCAGCCGCTCGGCCTGCGTGACTCTGCACTTGTTCTGAGGCCCGCGGTGCCGCCGACCCCCCGGGAGCCTGGCACCAGGCTTGGAAATAACGCGCCCGAAGACATCCTGGGAAGAGAGAAAGAGCAGATGTGAGGAGAAACCCTCCGGCATTCTCTCCTCTCAATACCAAATTTCAGTCTTTATCACACGAGCTCCACAGAAGCCATCTGTGCCCCTGCCTGCGGGATCCCAGGGTGATGCAGAAGAGCTAAAGCAGAACCCGGGATGAAGGCCAGGGATCGGTGCCGGTACCGAGGAGCCCACCTGCCGAGGCACCTGAAAACGACCCCCCGACCTCCTTCCTTCCGTTCCCATCACGGTCGCAGGGGCAGGGACCTTTACATCCCGAGAAGCGCTATAATTGCTTATAGCATTTCCCGGCTCCCGCTCCAGCCCCCCCGCAGGGATCCCGGCCCCCCGCCCCCTGCGGCCCCGTCCCTCCCGTCGCGGGCCCCGTGGGGCAAGGCGGCACGCGAGCCCCCGCGGCCCCGCGCCATTGGCCGGCGCGGCCGTCACTCAGGGGCGGCGGCCCCAAGCGCCTGCTGTGTCACGGCGGCGCAAGATGGCGGCGCCCCCGCCCGCCCGCCAAGCAGAGGCCGCAGCCGGCGCGTCTCCAAAACCACCTTTATTGCCATTTACAGCTTTTACAGCGCAACGGTCGCGTCCGCAGACCTGTACAGGGCAGGGCTGTCAACACAGGGAGGCGGCGGTTACTAAATATTACAAAAATAAACCCGTTTCAGTGAGGGGGCTCCCTGCCCTCCCACAACTCGAGCGACCCCAATCCCGGGCCTGTGGAGGAGCCGCTGGGCAGACCCCGCTCCCCGAGGGAAGAGGCTTCATCTGTTCTCTTAAAAACATTTTTCAGCAAGAAAGCTACTGAGAAATTATTTTTCATTATTACACAAGAATGAATCCTGCTAATTAGCTCTGGTTTGTTTAGGCTATGTGCTTCCTGTCCTCATTAATCCGGGTGCCGATAAGGATACAAATGCTGCTGCCCAGCTACTGCCTGGGGCTCCCTCAGGCTCAGGAGCAGAGGCCACCGCAGCCATTACAGGTCATTCCCCACTTGCCCCCGTCCCCCCTCGGCCCCTCCGCCATCACCCGGCCCCATCTCCCTGCCCTCACCCCTCAGGGCTGCTATGGAGCCCCATGGGCTGGAAGCGTCCCTCCCGTCGCGGGCCCCGTGGGGCGGCGGAGGCCGGTGCCCGCAGCCGCTCGGCCTGCGTGACTCTGCACTTGTTCTGAGGCCCGCGGTGCCGCCGACCCCTCCGCGCCGCCCCAGCCCAGCCCGGCCCGGCCCAGCGCACCGCCAGACCCGGCTCCTCACGCCCCCGGGG